GGATAAACTTAGTGAACTTAACTGCTCCGAGTTAGATCATGGTCCAGGTCGGCACCATGGCAGACAAAGACAAACAAACAAACAAACAAACAAAGTCCACCCTTTTCTCCCTGGCCACCTCTTGTGTAAAAAAGTAAGAGGGCCAACATCTTGATTTCTCATCTTCCTTCGCATCTGGGTGCTCTTGTGTCCTGGCTTTGTCCTTAGGAATGTAAGCCCCCGCTACCTGGGGAAGTGTTTCTTAGGAACTCAGTTACAAGGCGTTACTGACTCTGGCTCCTTCTCTCCGTCCCTTGTCCTTTCATGAGAAAGTGCTGTCTGGATCTACAGCCATCTTCTTACCATGAGAGGGTTGCAAAGAGAATCACAAAGTACTGACCCTGACATTGTTGAATTACTGTGGCGGGAGGTGGGGGGACGTGGGGGGAAATCCAACCCGCCCACCAACATCTAATTTCTGGCTCTGAGAGAAGAATAAAAAGTCTCTTTCCAGGAGTTCTCAACCTGGGCACTAGGTGGGCCGCTTGGGCCAGAACCATCTTTGCATGTGGGCTGTCCTGTTACGTTTAGCAGCATTCCTGGCCTCGACCCATGGGCTCAAAAATGTCCCCAGACATTGCCAGATGTCCCCTGGGGAGCAAAATTGTTCCTGTCTTGGAACAAATCAGGTAATCTCTGCAAAGGAGCTTTCGGTTACTCTCCACCCAAGCTATCCTCCCCGGTGTTGTCCGGAGACAAATGTGCCGTAGCGGCCATTGTCCAGAGACAAATGTGCCATAGCGGTACTGCCAAATCCACTGGTTCATTGGCCACATGCAAGTAGGGAGCCCTTGTGAGAATGAGGAACTGGGTTTTTTATTTCATTTAATTTTATGGAATTTAAATAGCCACGTGGGGCTAGTGGACACCATAATGGACAGTGCAGTTTCTAAGTGACTCCCCCCATCTCTGGCATATCGGAGCTGGCGGTGGCTGATCAGGGCAAGTAGGGGTCCTGGGGCTATTTGCTGGTTGAAAGAAGGCCAACACTATGAAGGCGGCTGGCTATACCAGTAATAATAACTACATTTATGAACCACCTGCATGGATTGAAGCCTGGGTGAAGTTTTATACAGATGCTGCAGGTGTCATGGGCCTCGCTTTACAAATCTAAGTCTGTGGCCCAGAGAGGTTAAAAACTTGCCCCGAGACAGAAGGCTCAGAGCCAGTGTCCTCTCCACCCCAAAGCTCCCGGCGAGGAAAGCTCTGAGTTTCTGCCCAGCCGAAAAAGAGGGGCAACACAACTGTTACTGGCTCACAGGAAATGATGCCAGCTCGTCACCTTCCCTTTTTATTTATTGCTTATGGAATTCAGAGTAGATTACATCGGGTAATGAAACGGTTGTCAAAATCTAATTGGAAATCCATGAAGATAACGTGGGTGAATATGCTTCCAGCCTCAGCCAGGCACAGAGCCGCTGGGGACCCTGGGGATGGAATGCAGACTGGACCGGTCCTGCTCACAGTGCTCCTGGTTGTCAATGGCCCCTGAACTCCCTGCTCATCAAGGGTGTCCTCTAACCCCAGCTCAAGCTGTAACCGTTTCCTCATGGCCACTTCTTGAAATCTGATAGGAACACTTCAGCCTTCTCAACCACCCACAGACTGCTTAGCATGACCGGCGACCCTCTGGTAACTTCCCTGAGTCCTGGACCTATGGCTCTAGTGCCTTGTATGTGCTTTACATGCCGGTGGGTATTCCATGAACATCTGGGGTGAAGAAGAGCCCTGTAGTAGATGGTGGAATCTCGCTGGGCTTAGTGACATTGTTTTAGCCCATATGAGAGAGAGAGAGTGTTGGGGTTGGAGAAGAAGGTTTGGGAAAGTTCATGATGCTCCTAGACAATGAGTTCTTTTGACCTCTCTGCACCCAGACAAAGTTATGGGTGGTGAGGCGTGATGCGGTGACTTCTTTTGTTTGGCTAACAAACGGAGCAGGGCATTCTAACCCCACCCTGCCTTGGGGATGTCTTTGCAAATGTCTTTCTTCATGGATCAACACCTATCCCAGGCCTCTTATTCATCTCAAGAGGTTCACAGATGACTTGCCGGCATGCAAGGCATGAGGGACCATGGAGAAATTGGAAAGCCAGGCTGGAAGGGCATCCGTTATCAGAGGATACCATGATTGGGCCGCAGGTATCAGAAACAGTCATGCTAAGCAAACACGTGCGTGGTTGAGAAAAGCTACACATCTGGCCTGTCCTGGCATCTTCCCAGCCCCACGTCTGCTCTCTGAAATAGGCTAACTTGGGTCTTCCTTTTACAGGAGACGGATTCCTTGTGACTCCACTCTTTGCCGTCCATATGTAAACCAAGGAAACCTCCTCCTTGGGAAAGCTGAAGAAGGGCTAGGCTGCCCCCGCTCCTGGCTCTGGAGGGCTTGTGGGACAACGTGGTTGTTCCTACCGCTCCTTGGAAATTCCCTCTACCCTCCACTCTGCAGCTGGAGATCGATTTTCTGCTCCTTCAATCATTCCAATTACACTCCATCCCTCCTTAAAAGGAGAATCATAATGAGGTGGTAGTGCAGTTCTGAACAATACCTCATCACTCAGGGAGCCCTGAGATTACTTCCCTCCGAGGTGTGGGCAGCTGAGGAAAGTGAGGGTTCAGCTGAGGCTGCCGAGCTGGCAGTTTCTCTGAGGGCTCCCTTGAAAGCCTGTCCCAAGAAGGTGGCAAAACAGACAGCCATTTGCAATGTATGTTTCCCCTCTGGTGCTATACTGCTGCTTGCCTATAACAAACAATGATCCATCCTTCCCCCCACCCCCCCATACCTATCTCCCCTAATGGAACGGGGCTCCCAGCTTGAACCCACGCCGGGACTCAGATGTGCCCTGGGAATCGGTACACTGGCTGTGAAGTGTCAGGAGTTCATTTGAATGGAGGATTTTGGCAGGAGGAGAAAGGGTTTTTGCAGAAACATCAGAAGGAAAGGACTTGGGTGATGGCCTGAGCCTGGCCCTTCTTCTCCCTGAGCTGAGCCCTGTGGAGGGAGGGGGGAACTG